TCCTATTACAGCCTGGTGGGGAGGATTGAGGTCAGCTTGGAAGGAGTTAGAGCAGGATGATGGGAATGTCTCTTTGACCCAGCTCACTACCTGGCCAGCTAAATGAGTGAGCAGGACACTCGATGGAACCTGTAGGCTGAAGGAACTTGGAGAAACTGTCAGGAAGGGATTGGTTTTTAATGATCTGGCTGGTATGAATCATGAGCTCTGTATCACTTTTAAAATCCATTGTGGTCATTGAAACCTTATAAATGCTCTATTGAATCATTATACCCAGGGGGAACTGGGAAGAGTTGCTTCCCTTTCCACACATTGGACTATATAAATAGCAATAGCGCTCCTTGCTTTAAGAAAACTGGAGACATGAACGGTCTAAATTTCCAAACAAGTGCAGAGATTAAGATAAGAATCCTCAAGTAGTAAGTGATCATAAGTGAATTGCTTTACTGTAGTTTTCCTTTCACCCTTGGATTGGAAATACGGTATCTGTTTTTCTCTTATTTCTGAGTACCTTAGGAATCAGCTTGGGCAAAAATAGAGTTCTTTCAGTGAAATTTAGAAATGCACTTCTGCCACTTTCCTTAGAAATGTTTCTTTTGGTCCAACAGCATGCATTATTAAGCCATTTCCATGGTACTCTTGTTCTTGCAGTTTGATGAGGCAGACAGTTTGTTTACAGTTTCTGGAGATGAACAACAGACAACCAACCTGGTATGGTGGCACAAACAGGAGGATTTAGTTCTGGGCTTGGTTTTTGCAATGCTGATGGTTGCTTGTGTGACTCACTTTCGTACCATCCCACCCCTGGCTGTAATTTTCCTGCCCTTTATTTCCTCTTGAACTTGAGTGATGTCTCAAACCCTGAGGAGCAGGAGCTCTGCAGTCAGGGCTGAGGTTCAGCTTAGTCTTATCCTTCACCAGGAGGCTGCAGACTATCTGAGCTCAGCTCCCTTTCTCTAGATTTGAAGGTCTTTGGAAAGCTTCTCAAGATAAGAACACAGAGAAAGCCCATGGGCTTTTTTTTTTGGATTTCCATAGGAGTTTCCCAAACCCACCTTCCGTCATTTACTGGTCCAAAGGCTCCTAGAAAATATCTTCAGAACTCAGCACAGGCCAGGAGAACTGGAATGCAGAGTTGCCCCTCAGCACATCTTGCGGAGTGTTCCTGGGTGCACGAGGCACACAAATCACCCCCAGCCTCACCCACACAGAGAGCTCCAGATGCACAGTTCTCAAGCGAGTCCCACCTCATGAATACCCTGGAATGTGCTGCAAGGCACGGGCCTTCCTTCTCCGGAAGACGCCCGTACTGAGCAGTGCTAGGGTTAGGAGGACAGCTCGCCCTCAGATGCGTCAGTGCTCCTCTCTCAGGATCTTTAGAGCAACGGCAGCATTGAGAACCTGTGGAAGTAACACAGCTGACCACCTGCTCCTTGAAATCTCCTCTTTTGGCCAAAGTCACTCCCTACTCATCTACTTTGCTTCTTACCTCTGTGGCTAGCATTCTGTTTTCTTTGCTGGTTCTCTCTCTCTTTCTTCTTTCTTTCTTTTCTTTCTTTCTTTCTACTTTTAAATTTTATTATTTAAAATTAATTTTACTGGTACACTTTAGATATACCTAATGTTCACATTTGTCACAGGGAATTTATACCTGTACATAATATATCTTGATCTTTCTTTTTCCCCGACTCCCCTCCCCTCCCTTCAATCCGTCTTCTCCTCCTTATTTACAAAAGTTTTGTTTCTATTTTTTCCTCATATTCTTTTTTCTTTTCTCTTCCTTCCTTTCTCCCCCTCCTCCCTTGTTCCCTTCCCATTTGAGCACTTTCCTCCTATCTTTCTCTTAATCTTGAAGCAGTTGAGCTCGTCAAAGCTCAATCCTAGACCTTTTTTCTTTCTTCTCCTTTCTTCTCTCCTCTTGCTCTCCTCTCCCTAGATAATTTCATTGATTCTCCTGGTTTCAGTTACCCCCTACTTAGCGAAACCTCCTACATTCTGTGTCTAGTCTATACTCCCTTGAACTCTAAACCCATGTGTTCCGCTACCTGCTTGACATTTCCCCTGGGAATCACAGTCCTCCCAAACTCAACGCACTCAAAGCAGAGTGAACCCCCTCCTTCATTTGCTTCCCTGTGTTCGTTCTCTAATCTTCTTCACCTAAGTAAATTGCACTGCCGTCTGCCTAACTTCTTGGGTCAGACACTTGGGGACACTGTTCATCACTTTTCTATATTTTCAACATCCAAACTATTTATCTCTTGTCCTTTATTTTAAAAATTATTCCTCAGAATTTCACCCTAGTCTAATCACCCTTGTCTCTCCCCTGATAGCGGCATCAGCCTCCTAACTGGGTTTCTAGCAAAAATTTTTCATCTCTGCATCCCTTAACCTCACAACAAATTTTTTCCCTAAAAAGCAGTCCCTCCCTTCTTCCCGCCCTCCCTCCTTCTTCCTTTCCTTCCCTCCCCTCCCCTTCCTTCCTTCTTCCCTCCCTCCACGCTCCTTTCCCTCTTTTCTTCCTTCCCCCTCCCTCCGTCCTTTCTTCCTTTAATTTGCATTTACATTTTATTTTTTTCGCTTGAAAATAATTTTTTTCTTTTGAAAATAATCATAGTTCATAGGAAATGACAAAATGTATTGCAGAGAGGTCTCACATGTCCTTCTTCCAACCCCCCGGCGGTGACGTCTTCCACACCTAGAGCACAATATCAAAACCGGGCAATTGCCACTGGTGCAATCCCACAGCGTCTGCAGATTTTGTCGGTTTTGTTGTTCTCTCTCTCACACAAATAAGTTTGCATCGCTTATGCGTGTTTGTGTGTAGTTCTATGCAGTCTTGTCAGGTACACAACCACTGAGATACAGAACCGCTTCATCACCCCAAATATCCTTCATGCTAAAGACTCCGCCTTTAAAAACAGCAGTCACCCAGCTATTGCCCTGCTCAAAATCTTTTAATAATTTTAAAGTCCCAAATCTTTCAGTAAGAGCCGTGTATGCCCGCACACTGTGGCCTTAGCAACCTCTCTGGCTGCCTCCTGCCCCTCGTTTTGCATGCCAAGCCTCTGCTAGCTGGCCTTTCTCTTCCCTGTACTCTGCCAAGATGCCTGGCTGCTGAAAGCCTACACCGTGCTGTCCCTCTTCCATGGATCTCTCTCTCTCTCTCTCTCTCTTTCTCCCTCCTGGCTAACTCCTTCTGACCTGCCAGGTATCCGCTCCAAATTTCCTTGACCTCCTAGACTAGGTTAGGTCCTTAGTAGGTGCTCAAGCAATGCTTGTTAAGTCGATGAAATTTAGAATAAGCTGGCTCGTTGTGGCTGAAGTGCAGCCTGAGGCCATGGAACCGGACAAAGTCAACCTGCTCATGTGGCATCTGCCCCCCGACCTCATCTTCGCCCTTCCCAGTGGTACCCTGCCGGAGAACAGAGGCATCTCTGGCCCATACCACCTAAAGTCTCAAACTGAAAACTTTTCACTTGGGATTTTGTGTAAGGCTTCTTTCTCTTCAGGACTGCTGCACGGTGTCACTTTGGGAGGGTTACTAGTTCAGAGCTGTGGGATTCTCTGAGTTGGACGGCACCTGACAAGCCTCTGGAAAGGTTTTAGGTCTGCTAAGTGTTCCCTAGCCCAACCATGCAGTTATTTCCACCCCCACTACCACGCTTTCAAGATATCTTAGTGTGGATTGTATTTGCGGAGTCCAAACTTGGGTAGGTCCCTACACAGATTGAATAGACAGGAGTTCAACCAAGTGAGTACGATGGGGCCAGTTCTCTGAAGAATTGAAAGGGAGACAATGGGGCCTCCTCCTGAGGGGTGTGGCTTTGCCAGGGCTTAGTGGACCGGTGAGGGATCCTATCTATGGAGGGCAGTAGGTGGGAGGTGTCGCCTGTCTGCAGTATCCTTCAGAGCACACAATCCTTCCCCCCAAAGAGGCAGCGTATGCACTGCGCAGTGGTTCTGGCAGAGTGGGAGCTCTGGAGAAGGATGAACCCCTAGCGTTGAGCAAAGCTGTTGATTTGTGGAAGAATAAAACATGAGTGCTCTGGGAAGGTCCCTGTGTATTTGACAGAACCGGGAAACCTGGGAATGTCATCTGCGTTTTCCTTCACGGCCAAATCTTCGCAGTGTACAGCTCGCAGCTGCCATCTCCTCCGGGTGGGTGAGCGCTGAGAAGAGTCCCTCTGTGCAGGCCGGGCCTGGTGTTCCCCGGGGCTGTGTGCTCTGAGATCATCATTTACTGTCCCTCCCCCGATTTGACTGTTGGCTTGGGAGGGAGGAAAGAATTAGAACCAGTGACTGATTCTTTTAGATGGACCTGGCTATCTGCCGTGATGTGCCATTCTTTTGCCCTCCTTGGAGGTCTCTTTCTACTGTCCTCCCTGCGACTGCCCAGGGCTTGGATTTTGCTAATCTCTAGGCTGTGGCTGTAGATATTCTAAACAGCAGTGCAATAGCAGTGCCACCATCACCCCTGAGCACATCCCTGGAAACTTTACATAACCTTTATGTCCCTGTCCCCTGTATTCCAAGGGAGTGTGAACAGGAAGCCCCGGCTGCAAGTAGCTCTTATGTCTTATTCCTGCCGCAGCTGAAGCCGGCACCTGGGAGGTAACGCTGAGGTCCCTCCAGGTGCTCCCTGGAGCTGTGTACTCTGCTGTTTCCTTCCCGGCTTTCTCTGATAAACGCTTTGTGCTCGAATCAGCTGGTTATACCTGGAGGGGGAATGCGGCTCTCAAGGCAAGGGGAATTGGATGGCGCCTGTCCCTAGTAAGTCGGTTAATGCTCATTGCTCTCTTTGCGCCTCTATCTGATAAAAATGGGGGGTTGGTGGCAAGAAGTGTGGGTAGAGTCTTACCCAGACCCTCTCCGGCTTGGGAAATGCCCTGCTACCCCCACGCCTCTTTCCACGCTGAGCATCAGTGTATTTTTGGTTAGCGCCGTGGCAGTGACTGGTCACATTCTCTGGCCTTAATGCTGCTGCTTCTGGTTTCCTCCAGGTCACCCGACCTGCCTGCAGTTCACCCTGAACATGACCGAGGCTGTCAAGACCTACAAGTGGCAGTGCATAGAATGCAAATCCTGCATTCTCTGTGGGACCTCGGAGAATGACGTGAGTTTGGGGCTTTCCTTGTGGGAGGGAGGAATCCAAGGAGCTGGGAGTCCTTGAGGGGTACAGAGGGAGGCAGGACTCTTGGTACTGAGCTCCAAGGGACAGTCAGTTAGTCTTGTTCTTTGCCTCTACAACACTTAGGACCCTTGCACCAAAGGGATCTTGGACGCTGTTTGCGCCTGTGGAAGCAGATTTAGAAGGTGGCCGGCAGGGGACACCTTTATGGCCATTTGCTCTTAATATTGGTACTTGGAAGCAACCTGGCCATTAGCTCCAGAGAGTTCACTGACCGACAGTCGTGACCCTTGCTTGTGGTAGGGATGTTCTGGGTTGTTTCTGCCACATTTCACAGTGCATAATCTCACTTTGGCTTGCAGGTTAAATATGGTAAATGAAGAACTTCCAAAAACATCTGTTTTACAGATAATTTCAAACATATACAAAAGTAAGAGAATAATACAACTGGTATACCCTATCTCCAGTTCAGACATGGTCAATATACATCTAATTTTGTTTCACAAAATACTACTACTTTCTTCTGAACACAAGTCTTAATGTCATTTTACCTGTAAATATTTCATATGTATCTAAAAAGACACACTTATTTTTAAGTAAAGCAATCAAAATATTAATAGCTAGAAAAATCAATAATTCCTTAATCAGACATTCAGTAAATATTTATTTCTTTAATTGTTCTCATAATTTTTTTATTTTAGAGAGAATAGTAAAAAAAAGAACAATAGCAAAATACAAACAATACGAAGCAAGGACATTAAAAATGATACGGGGTTTCAAACCAAGTGATAGAGATTAACAGTGGCTGTTATATTACATATTGTTATCTTCAATGTAGTTGCTCCGATTACCAGATGTAAGAATGCAAGATTGATCAGACCATTAAAGAGAATAAGAAAATAATAATTTCAAAAAACGTTAGAGACAATACAGAGTTTCACTAGACAGGAAGGTAGGAATTCACCAATGGTTGTTATATTGCATATTGTTGTCTTCACATCAGTTGCTCAGATTACCAGATACAAGCATGCAGAATTGATCAGAACATAAAAAATTTTAAGCATTACCTGTTACTTGCAATACACCATCAGACATCAGCAGTACAGTTATCCCAGCTATCCTTCTATATACATATATAGGTATATATTGCCTTAGTTCTTTCTTGCTTCTTCTTCTTTTCCTCATCCTCTCATAAATATTTTTATTTGAACTGAGATCCAAATAAAGTCCATGCACTGCAGTTAGTTGATATGTCTCTGAAGTTTCTTTACATCTGTCTCTAGGTCTGTGTCTATCTCTGTCTCTAGCTATACCATCTATATCTGTATCTATCTGTTATATAAATAATAGATAGGTTTCTTCCCGTCTTGCTCTCTTTTTTCCCTTGAAGTCCTTTGTTGAAGAAATCAGATCATTTGTTCAATAGAGTTTCCATGACTATATCTTACTGAACGCATCCTTGTGGAATTGTTTGACATTTCCTTCTGTCTCATGTATTTCTTGTAAATTAGTAGTGAGAGCTGGAGGCTTGATTCAGGTACCTCTATCTCTGTCTCATTTCTCCCCTTATGATCTCTGTCTGTCTCTCTGTCTCATTCTTTTCTGACAAGTCTCCTTTACAGGTGGTGGTGTACACTTTTATCTGGAGGCATGTAATGCCCGACATCTCTCTTTTTTGTGAGACTGCATCTATTGATGACCTCCAGGTGGAGTGTATTTCACTAGGGAAAGCAAAATAGCAATATTCTTATTGGATAATTTTTTTCTTTGTTTATTAGCTGGGATGATTTGATAAAGAGAAACTTGCCCAAACTTGTGTTTGGCACAGATCATATAGAAAAACCATAAAAAATGCTTGCTTCTTTCCTTCTGTTGGTTTTCAAAATAATATGGTAGTTATAATACCTATCCATAACAAAAATACTCAATAAAATAAGAATTTTGCTGCACCGTCTTCACACAAGAACATATGTATATCTTAGAACTAAAGTCAGTATCTTATCTAACAGAGAAAACACTAGAAGCATCTCCACTAAGATCAGGAGCCAGGGGAAGCTTCTCACTGTATTATCACCATTTACTAGAGATCTAGCTAGCACAATTAGATAGGAGAAACCAGTTAGGCCTGCTAAAGTATAAGTAGCACTAATCTAAAACTTCAAATCCAAAATACTCCAAAATTTGAAGCGTTTTGAGTACTAACATGATGCCACAAATAGAAAACATCACAACATAAAACAGTTTCATGCATAAAATCATAAAAAATATTGTATAAAAATACCTTCAGGCTATATGTGTAAGGTATATGTAAAACATGAATGAATTTTGGCTTTAGATATGTGACCCATCCCCAGAGATTTAAATATGCATATACAAATATTTCAAAATCTGAAAAAGCCCCACATCCAAAGGCTTCTAAAATCTGAAACACTTTTGGTCCAAGACATTTCAAATAAGGGATATTTGACATGTAGTAAAACTTTCTTTATTTTTATATGATATAGCAGTACATCTGGAATACTTTAGAGAGTCAATAATAATAATAATAATAAACCAGGCATAGTGGTGCATGTCTGTAATCCCAGCACTTGGGAAGCTGAGGCAGGAGGATTGCTGTGAGCTTAAGGCCAGCCTGAGCTATAAATTTGGCTTCAAAGCTAATCTGAACTGCATAGTGAGACCTTTTCTCAGAAAGACAAAAAATAAATAAATAAATACATAAAGTTAACTCATATAAAAACATTAACAGGATATAAATTAACATACATAAATAATAACTTTCATACACACACACACACACACTAGTCGGTTAGGGAACATAACTCCATTTATAATAGTGACAAGAAGAAATAGTTGTGAATATATTTAACAACAAATGCACAAAACCTATATAAAGAAAAATTTTAAGCAAGTTTTAGAAAGATTATAAGAACATTCTTTGACCTTAGATAGTGACTCAACATTATAAAGATGTCAGTTCTAAGTTAATTTGCAAATTTGTTTCAGCACCAGCAAAAATATCAACATGATTTTTTATGGAGGCAGGCAATTTGATACTTAAATTCACATGGGAAAACAAACATGCAAGAATAGCCAAAAATACTGATAAGCAAACTAGGATGGAAACAGGCACTGCCACTGCCTAAACCTACTGGACACATCTTTTTATGAAGCAGTGTGGTATTGATGCCTAAGTAGATAAATAAACCAGTTGGAATAAAATAGAATAGAAAGCCCATAAATAGACCCACCTACATAATGGAAATATAGTGTAGGATAAAGGTTACATCTAAAATTACTGCGTCAAAGATAGACTTCTTAATGAATAATACTGGGACAATGGAGTAGCCACTTGGGAAAATACAAAATTAGATTCATATCTCACACCAGACATAAGAACAATCTCCAAATAGATTGGGGATCTAAATGTAAAATGTAAAAGCATGCCAGTGCTAGAATAAAACATGGGTGAATTCCTCTTTAATCTAAATATAAGGAGAGGTTTTCTAGCTGTGACTCAAAATCCAGAAGCAATGAAATAAAATAACGATCAATTGGACTCCATAAAATTTGCATAGTAAAAAACATGATAAAGTCAAAAGACAACAGACAAACTTGGAGAAAGTACTGGAGACATGTATCATGGATTAAGGACAATACCTAGTAATATAAAGAACTCTTCAAACATGAGGGACAGAGGCTCAGAAACCTGTTGGGAAATGAGAAACATACATGAAAGAAAATTCACAAAAGATATAAAAGTGACCCTTAGGTTTGTAAAATAAATGTTCAAATGTACTCATAACTACAGAAGCTCAAAATCAAGGTACTATTTCTTATGTATTTAATGAGAGAAAAATTTTTAAAAATCATGATAATACCTTCTGTTAATGAAACTACGGGAAAATTGGCCTCATATGATTGGAGGGAATACAAAGTAGTACTGGAGGGAAATTTGGAAGTACTTAACACAATTACTATACACTTATCTATAGGACTTTATCCTGAAGCTACATCCCCAACACTGTGGAAGTATGCATGCATAAGGTTATTTATGGTGGCATTGTGTATAATTACAACATACTGGAAGCAACTGCAATGTCCATTTGTAGAGTGGTTGAGTAGAAAATGACATGACCATACATTGAAGTACTATGGAGCTGGAAAAAACAATAAGAAAGATGTCGATGAGTAGATCTGGGATACTTTTCAGGATATAGCACTGAGTGGAAAAAATCAATATAAACTGTAATATCTACCTGTACTGTACTACCTTCGTGGTAAGAAAAGAGATGTAAGAAAACAGATAGACATTGTGCTTGTGTAGAAGGAATATAGGAAGAACAGACAAGCAGCTAATGAGGGTGGCTACACACGGGTGAGTGGGAATGGATGGAGTGGAGAAAGAATGGTGAAATCCGTATGAGGTCACAGGGCTGAGGGAGGACCAGCATTTCTTCGAGAACGTCGTTTTTGTATAGCTCTGACTCTTAGAATCAAATGTTGCCTATCCTTCCCAAATACATAATTAAAGTCAACCAGGATAGGGGAAAACCTAAAACGGAACACAATCACTAGCAAACAAACCTGACCATAGTGTAAAGACATAACATAACCATAATGAAGGGTGGAAGGAAAGTAATTAACCTAAGAAATTTTTGGAAATGGTGTATTGACTGTATTGTAAGGGTAAGGACAAAATAACTCCATCACAAACATTGCGCTGTAGTTAGTAAACTTGTTTTCATGGGTGTAATTTAGTAATTCTGAAACCACTTTACGTGTGTGCTAGATTTGAACTAATAACTGTCCATTGTGATGAGAGTCAGAGTTCTACATGTCAGAGGAAGAATAACCAAATAAAGGGGAAGCCTAGGTGGGACCCTGTGGTATGGGGGCATCAGTATAAACTCATGGATTTTAATGTATTAAGCATCTCTAGCTGTTTGTAGGGAAAGATGGGACCCTTAGGCAGGGGTAGAGTA